GTTTGAACTTAGGTTAACAATCAATTCATGCAAGTCAATCCACTGAAAAAAATGCTTTGGTAAACTTCAAAGTCTGACCATTTGCTTCCACATTTGGAGTAGTGGTTCTTCTCTGTTGACTTCAGTTTGACGGCATCAGCCACAATATTCTTAACCACGCCCCACTTACTGTTAATTTGTTACAAAGAAATGATGTGTGATAAAGAAAGCCCCATCCCCTACTCAATATTGCCAGACTCAGTGATAAAAAAAGCTGCATCTGCTCAGCAGTACTACAGAAAAACACTCAGTATAGACTGCTGCTGCATCAAAAATAATACTAATAATAATAATAATAATAAATAAAATAAAGTAACTGAAGAAGAAAACTATTTGTCAATTCTCTGCAGTGGTTTCAAATTCTCAGGGCCAGAGCTCATCTCAGGCTGTTTCACTAGTGCATTCTCATTTTAAAATGCTGTTTGGATTGGTAGGATTGGTAGAGCTACGCATCGATGAATTTGCTCTTCAGTGTTTGAACTCTCAGTAATGATTAAATCACACTGAACAGAGCTAAACTGAACTGAACTGAACTTAAACACTAAAACCTGAACCACACTGTTCCAGTTACTATGACCATTTATGTGAAGCTGCTTTGACACAATCTACATTGTAAAAGCGCTATACAAATAAAGCTGAATTGAATTGAATTGAATTGAAAACACCCCTTGTTTATACTTCTCTTTTTACACTATAGGCTACAGGATAAAACTCATCATATGTGACCATTTCGTCATGTACAACTTGTGGCTTAACAATTAAAGAATTGTAAAGGTCGCAGGTTTGAGTCCTGGCACTGGTAGGGATTGTAGGTGTTGGATGTGAATTGTCAATACTCAATACCATGGCTGACCTTGAGCAAGACAACATACCGCAATACTCCGGGTGCACATGGGCTACAGTATACTGGTGGTATATATCTAATATATATATATATATATATATATATATGTACCACCCAGAGGAAACCCATGCGAACGCAGGGAGAACATGCAAACTCCACACAGAAACGCCAACTGACCCAGCCGAAGCTCGAACCAGCAAACTTTTTGCTGTGAGGTGACAGAACTACCTACTGCGCCACTGCATCGCCCTATATATATATATATATATATATATATATATATATATATATATATATATATATATATATATATATATATATATATATACATACATTCATTCATTTTCTTGTCGGCTTAGTCCCTTTATTTATCTGGGGTTGCCATAGCGGAATGAACCGCCAACTAATCCAGCAAGTTTTTACGAAGTAGATGCCCTATATATACACACACACACACACACACACACACACACACACACACACACACACACACACACACACACACACACACACAAATATACATTTGGGAATTGTTTAGCATTTTTCAAAACTTTTTAGAGCTGTATGCATGAAAAAAAAAAGTAGGATAGAACGTCATTTTACCTGTCAAAATTTGTCTGGATCTTGAAAAGGTGACGTTTCATACCATCAGAATGTGCCAGACAGGAAGCTTTTTGACAAGACGTGGAGACTGAAGGTCAACTTTAGTCTTGAGAGATGTTGAGAGATTTTTTTTTTTTAAATGTTTCATTCATTTAATCGCAGTGCTAAATCACTGCACTTTCATGAAAGCATATAGCCTACAACACGATGCTAAAACAGTACACTTGTGGGTTGTGACCAAGTGTGCCGCAAGCCTACGTTTGAGTGAAGGTTTCGGCCGTTAGATCGCCCCCTGGGGGCTGGCTGCAGTACAAGTCATAAAGCCCGCCTCCTCCGTGTTAATGAAGGAGACTTGAGCCCAAATAAAAAAAAATATTACACTTGCAATAAAATGTCCCGAAAGATAGTTCTGGTCGATTAAGGCACTGGTTATTGTGCTGAAATAGGTGCAGATCTTCATTTTTGTAAACAGTTTGTTTTTAGCAGTAATTTAATGCTGGGCGTGTCATCGTGATTGACAGCTGTGATTGACAGTTTCTCAAAGCGCGGCGTCTGAGCTTCGGCAGGAGACTGAAGTAGACTGAAATGTTATTATTCGATTTCTGTGTTATTTTACCATGACAAAATGAGTTCAGCAGTAAACTATAGTTTCTGACATACATGATCCTGGTGGAACACTGTTTATTCGCTAAGTTCAGGGCTTTTTTCGGGCTTTATTAGTTTGCTGATACACGCCTAGCCACCCAGATAGCAAAACACAGTTCCGGCTAGATTCTCGCCTGCCGGAGACTTATCTCTTAGAGCTCAGACTGACTAATGTTACCTCTGCTGGACCTACTCCGGATGCCTGGACTCACTGCCCGATTCCAGTCCGAGTCAATCGAGCCAGATGCGGCGGCCGAGCGAGCAGGCGCTGCCGCATGCGAGCCGGAATCAGCCCGCGACGCCGCGAGTAAGTTGTGCGCTGCGGCCTGGAGCTGGCGCGATTGAATATATAAAACCCTCATATTTGTTAACGTTATTACATCCATTTGTGTTGATATGACAGCAAACGCATGCTGAGAAGTTCGGGGGGCGTAGTTGATTTTACATAAAGCGTTTGATTGGAAGCTCGACTCTGCTCATTTTCGCGGCTCCTCCTCTGGCTCCATCAGACAGTCCTTCTGCGCATGTCTGGCTCCAATTTCAGCAGTCTTTTGCGACAGTTTGTGCCCGTCAAGCAGGCGTTTTGCCCTCAAGGCGTTCAATGGGAAAAAGGGCTGTCGCGTCGTCCATATTTTTTACAGTCATTGGTTGTGACTGTATGTGATTTAAATTGAAAAGATTTAAATGACATCAATCTAAGCAGTCAGAATGATATACAGGACTGACTCAGAATTTCATGATTATGGCATTTAGGTGTTGCGTTCCTTCCTAATGTGTCAACTCTGTGAGTCACTGCAGTTTAGGACAAATCCTCAACACAACGGAAGCAGCGATAATGCTACGTGTGGCGTTATAAATCCTGGGGTATAGCGACCTCTAGTGACTGGGAACGAGAATACCTACAAATAGCATAATTAAACTGGACAATGAGGCAAAACGTTGTTAATTTGTGGTTAGTTGCCATTTTTACTGTGCTTACTTTTCTTTTATTAAGGAATATTAACTTGCAGTAGAATTTAATTTTGGGGAACATAAAACCAACAGGCCTATAATAATTCTGCAAGAATGATAAAATGACATTTATTCTGTGAAGCATCATAATTTTTTATAAAATAACAATGATAAAACAAAAATGTTGACTTTATTTAACAGATTCTTCTTTAATTGTTAATGGAGCTTAAATGTGCCTGCGTTCTGTTCCAAACAGTGAGTCATGCTGTTGAATAAAGGAATACTTTTTGTTTTATGTGCACAAAAGTATTCTCATAGCTTGATATTCTGATTGATTTACTAAAGACAAATGGTCTGTTTCAAGTTTTTTGGGGGGCTTTGGTATTTTTAAAGATGTCAGATTGCACCTAAATATGTTCATTTGAGCTTTTTTAATGTTTTCTATGACATTAGGGTGAATAATTATTCATTCATTCATTTTCTTTTCGGCCTAATCCCTTTATTAAAGAGGGGTCACCACAGCGGAATGAACCACCAACTTATCCAGCATATGTTTTTCCCAGCGGATGCCCTTCCAGCTGCAACCCATCACTGGGAAACACCCATACACTACAGACAATTTAGCTTACCCAATTCACCTGTACCGCATGACTTTGGGCTGTGGGGGAAACCGGAGCCCCCGGAGGAAACCCACACGAACGCAGGAAGAACATTTAAACTCCACACAGAAACGCCAACTGACCCAGCCGAGGCTCGAACCAGCAACGTTCTTGCTGTAAGGCAACAGCACTACCTACTGTGGAACTGTATCGCTGGTGAGGAATTAATAACAAAATTTTTATTTTGGGGTGAACTAACACTTTCAGTTCAAAAAAGTAAAACCATTCCAGATGCACACAAATAATGTGGATTGTCTTGTGATTTTCTATTAAATACAGAAGGTCATTTTTCATTTGATTCTGACATGATAATAAATACACTATAACTCCAAAATTCTTCAAAAGCGATGAAAAACAACCAATATCAGTCAGGTATTTTTTTTTTTACAAATTCTTTTTATTTATTTCCATAAATGTTTGTTATCTCTTAAAAATAATTTAAACAAAACTGAAAAAAAGTCCTGAAGTACTTACCAAATTCTTCTGTTTTTACAATATTTGATTGAAAATGTCCCTCTTCTTGTTTAAAACAGACCTGAACATGTTGAGTTGAAACAGCTGTAATTTAATTTAAACATCTTATTGCTGTTTTATTTCTTTATGTACACTTAAAAATATATATCACAAACAAGTCAAATAAATCTATGAAATCTATATTTCAAGTAATCTTTCTGCTCGTATCATTTTCACAAGCACACTTTAAACATTCTTACTGCCTTCATTTTTTTGTTGAATCAAATGAACTTCTTTAGTCATCTAGACTTAAAACATATTTCAAAATAAACTTTGCATAACTTAAAAAAAGCTAGAATCTGATTACCTCTGACGCCTCACAGCAAGAAGGTCGCTAGTTTGAATTCCAGCTATGTCAGTTGGCATTTCTGCGTGGAGTTTGCATGTTCTCTCTGTGTTTGTGTTGGTTTCCTTGCTCCGGTTTCCCCCACAGACCAAAGAGGTAGAGGTGAATTAAATAAGCTAAATTTACCGTAGTGCATGTGTGTTTGAGTGTGTATGGATGTTTCCCGGTACTGGGTTGCAGCTGAAAGCGCATCCGCTGTGTAAAACATATGCTAGATAAGTTGGTGGTTCATTTCGCGGTGGTGACCCCAGATTAATAAAGGGACTAAGCCAAAAAGAAAATGAATGAATGAATGGTCGTAGTGTATGTGTGTGAATAAGTGTGTATGGACGTTTCTCTGTACTGGGTTGCAGCTGAAAGCGCATTCCCTGCGTTAAAAAAATATGCTGGATAAGTTGGCGGTTCATTCCGCTGTGGTGACCTTAGATGAATAAAGGAACTAAGCCGAAGGACAATACATGAATATACAATAAAACATTTTGTAGCTATGTCTTTTTGCACTGTAAACAATGCTATGACAAAAAGTCATGGCTACAAATGTTTTTATGTTACTTGAACTTATTTTAAAAAGTCAATCAGACTTTAACTCCATTTTTTAAGTTATGCAAAGTTAAACATATTTTAGTCAGTTTGATTTATTTAAGTTAATTTAAGAAAAAGTTCATTTGATTCAACTTAAAAAAATAAAGGCAACAAGAATTTCTTTACAATGTGGCATTTCATTTTTAACAGTGCAGTTGGACGTAAAAATTGCTTGTTTCTGAGAAATCCTATTGGATTGTGTCTGGACAGTGTTAAAAACTGTAAGCATGAGCAATTTCCATTATCTAGAGTAAGAAACAATTCCACGTGTTTAAAAACGTATAAAAACCTGATCAAAGACATTCATTTAAGGAGTGCACTTCCCCAAACGCTTAAAATCCCAAAAGACCTGAGTTCACAAAATGCACACACAGAATAGTGGATCGTCTTTTGGGATTCTTCATTAAATCCAGCAGCTGATGTTCAGTGCATGCTCCTCGTCAGGTGGAGGACTGGTCTGAGTGTGCGGGTGTAGCAGGACACAGTGACGGGTACGGTCGAGGCTGGTCTAGATTCACATAGGTGATCTGGAGGTTGATGTAATGCTCCCCGTCCAGGCTGGAATGGATGTCCTGAACGGCCTGCACGAGTGTAGTGAAACCCGGCCTCTTCTCGGGCTCAGGATGCCAGCACTGCATCAGAACTGACCAGCTGCAATACACAATCCATAACCATTTTTCCTCTCTTCCATTTATTGCTTTAGTTTGTAGATGCTACCTGTAAAGCTGGGTATTTCTACTCAGTTTTCAATTTTATTTGCTAACTAATGATTTTAGTCACATATAAATACACTAGCAGTCGTTTTAAAATACTTAAAGTCCGCATGAAATCAGAATTTGTTTATTTTGCTAGCTCACATTTTTATTCTTAAGGTCAATTATAAATCCGCGCAAGTTTATCCACTCAAAAAAATTTGTTTGTTTTGGTAATCTTCAATGAAAGTCTGACCATTTGCTAATGCCTTTGTGAAGGCAGGGCTGGGTGATGTGGCAAAAATGCAATCTCGATAATTTTCTTCCATATTGAAAATATTAGATAACAATATATTTCGATATAAGTTGTTATTGCTTCCAGATTTTAAAGAGTACCCCATCAGTGACTGAAGCCACAAAAATTAGAGGGTCCATTAAATGGCATATCATATTTTTCAGCCGATAAATTTTCATCGGGGTGTGATGGGGTGGTGTCGCGGACGAAAGTGAAGAGGGTTGGGGAGTCACGGAAGTGAAAGTGAACAGAGGATGAGGGAGGAGGGCGGGTGAGTAGGGGGATTGGTAAAATGAGGTGCTGGATCAGATTTAGAGGTGCCAGATCCGGCATGCTCCGGCACAAATTAAGCCCTGCTCTCACCATTAGTTTTCTATGAGCGAATGAAAAGAAAGCCTACTCAATATTCTGTTCCAGTTGCAAGTACATCAACATGCTGAAATAATAGTCTCTGCATCCAGTTCACATGGACTTTATGATTTACTTTATTTTTTATTTTTTGTGAAACAGTAATTTTATAGCATTTAAATATATTTCTCTATTTTATTTATTTCTGTGATGGCAAAACTTAGTTTTCAGCATCATTACTCTTTTTTTTTCTAAGTCACATGATCCTTCAGAAAACATTTTAATATGTTGATCTGGTGCCTAAATATTTAAGATGGTTATTGGTCTTTAAGTTTAATAGTTTTGTGAAAACCGTTATATTTGTTTTTAGAATTATTTAATGATTAGAAAGTGTGTATTGGAAATGATAATTCCTTGTCTTTCTAAAGTCTTTATAATCACATTCAATCATTGAACGTTACCTCTATATACGTTAATGTGTTACCTCTCCTATTAAATTGATAAATAAATGTATTGAAATCTCTCTTTTTAAGTTCTTAATTCTAAACTTTTGCATGGTCGTTTATTAAGAGTTCCACAAACAAAAACTCTTCAAAATTGGTAATAAAAAGGAATGTTTTTGATGATTAAATCAGCAGATTAAAATGATGTCTGAAGGATCATTTGACACTAAAGAAAGTCACAAAAAAATTCAAACAGTCCCCTTCACATTCGAACATATCAATCAAATAGAACACTGTTATTTTATATTGTAGTAATATTTTACGATGACAATATTACAGCTTGTGTTTAAATTTATACAGCCGTAGTGTATCTTTCAGTATGGACATTTTTTGATTGGTTAAGCTAATATACAGTATTTTAATGATAGATAATGTTCCATCAAGATATTTTATAAATTTCCTACAGTAAAGATGTCAACATTTTATTTTTGATCAGTAAAATGCATTGCTAATAACTTAATATGGACAACTCTAACGGCTAATCTCTTATTCTTTAGTATTTAATATTTACAATCAGATTTCAGATTACATAGTTGTTTATCTAGCAAATTTTGTCCAATCCTAGCAAACTATACATCAATGGAATGCATATTTATTCAGCTTTCATATTTGTATTAATTTTAAATCCATAACTGAAATATCAGTGGTTGTTGAAATATGTCAGTAAAAACCGTAAAAATCCAAAGACATTCTGAGCCTGACATGATTTATCCTCTTTAAAAAAAAAGGCAACTCAAAAAAAGACTTACAGGGAATCAAAGCAATACTGCGGTTGTGGTAGTCGACGGCCTTGCATCAAATAAGGCGTGATGTCATAAGGGTCCACATCAGGATATGGACTGGCTCCTCTCGTCAACAACTCCCACATCAACACTCCATAAGACCACTACAGGGAAGAAGAGCATCTGTTTGTATGCATGTATGTTGTATAAAAGAGTAGCATCATATTAAGTGTTGAAAACTGATCAAAAACATTTTGGTGTTGAGCAGCAGAATACGCCATAAACCCTATCCTCTGCAGGTAAACAAATACAAATGATACTTTTATATAAAATTATACTTAATATATAATATTTAAACAATCATTTGCAGTCTTTGCTTCATTCCTACTTACTAGGTAATATGAATAGACTGCCCATTATACAGAGGGAATGGAAATTTCTCCATTTGAAACATTTACTTAAAATTATTTTGCATCATAGGTAGAAGCTGTTTGAGTAGAACTTTGTGTAGGTATAGTGTGTCCACAGTCATATTACAGTGATATATACAAACAACAAATCTTCTTTTTAAAAAATTCTTGACGTTCAAATAGAATCCAAATCCCAGCGTTTTTAATGTCCATTGCAACCTGACAGAGTGGAGTTTTTTTCAGTCCCCCAAATTGATTGACGACAGCGTATTAACATGTCTCTTTAGTAACGCATATAAACATGTCTACAGAACAGGATTTGCAAAGAAACTTGGATTAAAAGATCAGTTCCAACTCACTGTGAACAGCTGCACCTCAAGAATGAGTTTCACAAGATTAAAACGTTTTTAAAACAGAGCATGTTTGTAAAAAAAAAAAAAAGACAGTACAATCGAAACGAATGTAAGTACCAGCTCATTTGGATTTAAAGGGCACCTAGGTTACCCCTTTTTCCAGATTTAATAGAAGTCTTTTGTATCTCCAGAATGTGTCTGTAAAGTTTCAGCTCAAAACGCCCAACAGATAATTTATTATAGATTTCAAAAGTTTCTGTTTTATAGCTCTAACCATCAGGTTTTTGTGAACTGTGCCTTTAAGGCTAGTCCTTCATGCCCACCCTTTCCACGTGCCAGTTAGTGTGCCTTAATTTCCTCCCTCGGCTGCTTCAGACTACAGACAGACACGAAGGAAGCTGATCTCACCTAACGTTTGTGAGAAATACTACAGTAAGAACTTTACCAATAGTATTTGATGCATTTGTTGTGGAGTTGCAACGATGAGTCACACACAATATCATTACAAAGTTAACGTGCACACACACACAGAGACAGTGCACAAGCTTTTAGCTTTTTTAGCTTTGCAAGCTTTTTGCATGCAAATGTGAAAGGATACAGGTTCATATCCACGGCTTTGTGGATAACTGTTATCTTAAAGTACAAAATAAACCTCATTTAATGTCCACAAACCGGGATTGAAGCATCTTCTTTTATACTTGTACTGACATAATTTAGCTGTCAATCAATTTGGTGGGCGGTGTGTCTGCACTCCTATGTCAAGTTGCAGTCGGTCTCAAAACCACTCCAATTGGTCCACCATTTTTATGTTGTTAAATTGAAAAAATAAGAACTGGGTGTGTTTATATCCCCCAAATATGACAGTCTATACACTATACCTACACATATGTCTGTCCAAACATAGATGTTTTTCAGCATAGGTGCCCTTTAAAGGCACATGCATCAAAACAGCTGCAATGTAATCTTCATCCAAAATTGACATATTCAGCAGGGTTAAATAAATGATCTGATAGGTATTTTGAGCTGAAACAGGCACATTCTGGGGACACTTGTAAAAGGGGTAAAATATGAGCCCTTTAAACATTTTCTCGTTGTGTAACAAACAAAATCACATGAAAAAAAATCTATTGAGTTCTAAACTGTGTTCTTGAAAAGATTGTCCAAATTGAAATGTACCACATCTGATTTGGTGGTGAATTTCTGTGTCTGCAGGCTTTCTAAAGCCATCCATTTGACTGGCAGCTTCGCTTTCTTGCTGTCCTGGATGCTGTAGTATTCCTTATCATAGACATCACGTGCCATGCCAAAGTCAGCCACCTTCACTGTAAATGACTCGTCCAGCCTACCAGAAGAGGATTATTAAAGTTTTAAGGGATTTATTTATCTATAAACATTGTAAAGCCAAAAAAACATTAATTTGTTTAGTTTGGCGTTTACATACTTTATCTGTTACTTACATGCAGTTGCGTGCAGCAAGATCTCTGTGCACAAACTTCTTGTTTGCAAGATACTCCATTCCTTTGGCTACTTGAAGCCCGAAGCCAATCAGATCCTTCACTGTGGGACTCTAAACATGAATGATACATTTTTAGTAAAAGCCCTTGATTTAAGTGTTATTTAATGTATTGATGTGGTTTCCACTAAGAAAGGAAGACGTGACATGGCATTCCTAAAAGCCTATCCCCTTTAAAAAAAACTGACAATAAGAGTGTTATCACAAATCAGTTAAAGTTGCTTATGACAAACACAGACAGATACTGTAGTAATGAACAGTCTGCCCATCCTTTTCACTAGTTAATCTTCTCCATATTGCTTTATAATACAGAATTTAGCATAGCCAATATGTTGTGTGGTCTGCTTCAAATTGTGCATATGATCTGCTCATGACCCGAGCAGTTTGTGCGCTACAGTGGTTTGTATGACATAAATGCAAAACCACACTTCTTTTACCCCAATGGAAAGCATACATGTACAGTATTTATTTAGTATTGAATAATTTATCCCCTATATAGTGCACTATGTGCCCTTCACCAGATAGAGTATGCTGTATAAACAAGTAACTCAGCTTTAGCTTCTATTAATAGTGTAAGAGCTAGGATGCTTCAGATTCTAGACAGCATTTGATTGAACATGATATCTGAAGAGAAGCTAAAGTGCAGTATGATATCATTCATACCGGTGTAAATGAGACATGGTAAGTTTTGAATGTATATATTATGCAGTATCTTCTAAATGCAAGTTTTGTCTTTTTATTTTTTCAAAAATCATTTTTGTCAAAAAAATATTTTTGGTGTCATGGGACTAGTAGAAATAAAAAAATGTTAAATTAAAATTAACAATGAAACTAAATTCAAACTAATAAAAAGTACTGCAGTATTTCAATGACACTGTCACACGTTCCCTGTTTTGTATGTGGACTTTTACTTTGTGAGCCTGTTTACTTCCTTTTCCTGTAGACATTTTGTAAAGTCACTGATGCTAATTGCTTTTCCATAATTTGTGTTTCCAGATGTCCTTCAATTCTTTGTTATTCTTTGTATTTTACCCCCTCTTTCCTATGTTTCATTAGCTTTGTTTACAGCCACAAACTTTTATGCATATTTTGGGATATTACACACAAAATGGCTAGTTGCAAATGCCAAGAAATGTAGATTTTACATGTATCTTGGCTTTCCATCCAGCCCTTTTTTGTGTGATGTCCTTAAACGTGTATGAACATAAAAAAAATGCATAAAATAATGTACGTGGTCTAATAATGCAGATTTTTTTATCTTAAAATAAACCATGTACATTAACTGTATTACAGTATTTACAAAGTTTTATTACAATATTCTAATTTTCCACTTTTCGTTTTATCCAATTCAAACTTTATTATCATTTTATTTGATTTTTTTCCAATTTATTGCATTGGTTTAAAAATAGCTACTGTCAGTTGTTTGTGTTTTCTATCATAAAAGCGGAGTCATTTAACTCCTATCACTTCAGATGAATTTTATGTTGTTTTCCAGCCTCATGTTTACACATTAACTGGTAGTAAGATACAAAATTAATGTGCTTGCTTACCCTTTCTGGAGAGCGGATGAAATGCCGGAGATCACCGTGTTTCATATACGGCAGGATAACCAGAGGAAGTCCATCGCTGGGAAGCACAATGCCCAAAAGTGACAGGACGTGAGAATGGTGGAAGGCCTTCATAAAGAGTCCCTCTCTTAAAAACTGCTCCACCTCCTCCAGATCGGTGATCCCTTTCAAGAAATATACGAGAAGCATCTTTCATGTTGCATTGGTAAAGAATGACTAAGAAAGAACTAATATTTTTTTCAATATTTTCAAATGGTCTGATACCTAAATTCACTTGTAAAATTTCAGTTTTTAATGCTTTATTTGTATTTTTTAGATTATTTAGCTACTGAATATAATATAATATAATATAATATAATATAATATAAAATAATATAATATAATATAATATAATATAATATAATATAATATAATATAATATAATAGGTCACACTTTACAATAAGGTTCATTAGCTAATGTTAATTAATGCATTTACTAATATGAACAAACAATGAACAATACATTTACTACTGTATTTGTTCATGTTAGTTAACGTTAGTAAATGAAAATACAGTAGTTTATTGTTAGTTTATGTTAACTCATGGTGCATTAACTAATGTTAACAAGCATGGACTTAGATGTTAATAATGCATTAGTAAATGTTCAATTATGATTTATAAATGCTGTACATGTGTTGTTCATGATTAGTTCGTGTTATTAAAAGCATTAACTAATGAACCTTATTGTAAAGTGTTACCATATAAAATAATATAATATAATATAATATAATATAATATAATATAATATAATATAATATAATATAATATAATATAATATAATATAATATAATATTCATTCATTTTCTTTTCATCTTAGTCCCTTTAATAATATGGGGTCGCCACAGCAGAATGAACCGCCAACATATCCAGCATATGTTTTACTCAGCGGATGCCCTTCCAGCTGCAACCCATCACTGGAAAAAAATCTAAACACAATCACACACTACGGCCAATTTAGCTTATTAAATTCACCTATACTGCATGTCTTTGGACTTGTGGGGGAAACCAGAGGAAACCCACGTGGACACGGGGACTGACCCAGCTGTTGCTTGAACCATCGACCTTCTTGCTCTGAGGCGATCGTGCTACCCACTGCGCAACCGTGACACCCATAATATAACGTAATGTAAAAACAACAATTATTAAAACAAGTGCTAAATTACTTACTATTCAGTGATTTGACTGCACAGTGGGTCTCTTTGTTATCACTATCAGTAAGATATCCATGATACACTGTCCCAAAATGACCTGAGAAAGATTTAAGATTAGAATGTGGAACAGAAAGATGACATGCTGCTCAACATATTACCCAGATGACTTGTCACCTTTGCCAATGATTTGTTCATGCTGGATTTTGATCTTATCGGGTGAGATTAAAACATTCTTGACCTCCTCCAGCAGATCTGGCCGGAGAGCAGACATGGAGACCTGACGGCGCATCAGAGGAGCTGCTGCAGAGTCCATAGAGCCGGCATACGGCAGACTGGTGAATGTGGTGCCCGAGCCATGAAATGGAGAAACTGACAGACCTGCAGGACGAACAGTTTCTGTAGGTTGAAAAATGGACGAGTAGTACCAAGCTGAACAACATTATCTTTAAATGATATATATTGCCAGGGTCAATATTTTCACAAAAAATAATCGATGTTAGCTTGTCTCACCCCTTCTGTAGTCGCCATCAGGTGATCTGTCGTAATTCTCTGCTGTGGTGCGATTTGAATGCATGGACAGTCGAACCTCAACAAGTGCAGCTGCCAGTCAAACATGAGGTATTTTTAAAACATTCAAAATTACATAATTTTGCCAAGTTTTATTTTAATAAAAAAACATAATTATGATATTTGATTTTTATTTCTAAAATATTTAACTAAAGTTGTCAATGTGATCAAAAGCTAACAATTTCATGTAATATTTCAAGAGTTCACACTTAGCTGATGATTTATAAAAGCTTGTTTGGCATGCTGTCCCGGGAGAGAGCCCCGAGCTCAAGGGCTCCTCGAGCCCGGGGCTTCCTCCCGTTGGCAGAGCGAGAGGGGAGCCTGAGCTCGGTGGATCTCAGAACTCCCCTGCTGCGGTAGCTAAGGGAACACAAGGGGTTAAACAAAAGCTTGATTGTTATGCATGTTGAATGTCTTTGGATGGTGGGAGGAAACCGGAGAACCCGGGGAAAATCCATGCGGACACGGGGAGAACATACAAACTCCTCACAGAAACACCCACCGGTCCTGTGGAACCAGGCCTGGCAGTGTTCTTGCTGTGGGGCTCACAGTGCTAACCACTGGGCCGCCGTGCCGCCCAATCAGAGGTAAAGGAGGAGGATAGGGGAGGAGGGGGGTTTCTTCCAAACGAAGATAAAGTGAACGGAAAACTGTGGCTATTTATAGTAGCTTAGGGCTCATATGATTGGAAGATAGTGATTAGCAAATGCGAGACCGGCCGTGATAAATCATAAGCACGTGATCCTCTCGAAATTAGTTTATGAATAAACTTCACTTTAACATTTGCTTAACCCCTTGTGTATGTACAGTTGTGTCTTTTTTTCTACACTAAAAATTGCTGTAAAATTTACAGTATTACTGGTCATTTTTACAGTATAAATGCCAAAAGTGCACTGTAAATTAACAAAATAAAACTGTGCTGTAGTTTTACAACACAATAGTCATTGTTAACTTACAGAGCACCTGTAAATTTTACATTATTACTGGCAACCAAACTTGCTAGTACTGTATACAGTATAATATGTACTGTAAAATGTATGATACTGTAAAATTTACAACAATTTTACAGTGAAGCTAGCACAATTGTAAACACAATGTTACAATTTTAGTGCCATTTTCTCGAGTTTGATCAAATACTTGGTTTGGAGCAATGTAATTCTATGTATATAATGATGTAAAATGTAATGTGGGTGTATGAGAGTTTGATTTGTATGCATATACCGAGACATTTCTATGTGTTTTAGTGACCCTGCACAATAATTATAGTATACCAACATTATTGTAATTCGTAATCACAAATTTATCCAATACTGTAATAATAATAGAAAGTGGTTTAGAATTTAATATATGCAAGATTTAATTGTGCTTATTCCATCAATAACAATAGTGGCACCATGTAAACTAAAGAATTAAAATCCTAAAATGGTACAGAATGAATGTGGAGTAATTTGTTTGATTTTTGAAAATATTTACACAGGAACAGATCATCATCTGTTTGTCCTTGGCACAAAAATGTATTAAGGGAAAAACAGACATACCTTTCTTTTTCTTTCGCTCTTGAGCCATCGCAACATAGACAATAGCTGCTCCTACACCAACTGCAGCTAAGATGCCCAGCACCACGCCCACAATTAAGTTGCTGTTCTTCATTACAACCATACCGATGTCATGCTCTTCTCTATTCACTAACACCTGAGAACAACAAAGTGACAGAGCAATGCATCACCAGTGAAATGCAGAGTCATCTTGAACATTTTAAAGCTGAGTTTAATAGTTTGCAGAATCTAAACCTTGACTGGTGCCCCTTGGCGGGGGATAGTCAGATTTTTGGGGATCCTGCAAGTGATCTCATTGTCCAGAACTTTAGCATTGCAATCCACGCCATTAACTGTCATGATGATTTCCATGCAGCCCGACACCAGAGCCAGTTTCTTGTGCTGAAATCAAAATAAAAGATGATATTTAGTATATTTTACAGAGTATTCACTTTATTCTAATCATCCACTTAAGACATTTTATGCAGGGCTTAATTTGTGCCGTAACACACCAGATCCGGATCCAGCACCTCTGAAATCTGATCCGGCACCTCATTTTACCGATCCCCCTCCTCAACCGCCTTTCTCCCCGTCCGCTGTTAACTTTCGATTTCTTCCGCGACACCCCCGCCCTGCTCACTTTCGTCTGCGACACCGCTCCGCCATCCCCACACACACACTTTCATGCGCGACACCTCTCCATTCTCGGGTACCCTGCCGTATCTGTTACCCTGATCTGTTCCGGGACCTCGCAATTCACAAATTAAGCACTGATTCTATGTATTATAACTAGTATTGGCAGACTTATATGCTAAAAATGTAATGCTAACTATATATATATATATATTGACTCTAACACTTGACTCTGACTGTCCCTCAAACATTTTTTGATACCACATAACCAATATTTAACTGAAGACGCACGTGCAGAGAGACTTCATCCTGGCCTGGGCTGAGCTCCAGCACTCGGTCCTCTGTTTCAAATGGGATGGGTTCTCCATTAGCATGGCATGTAAAAGTCTGAGACTGGAGATCTTTGGCTCCATCCAGATCTACAGAGAGGATTCCTGTTGACTCCTCACATACAGGGCTCATACACTCCATCTGCGTGGGGTTTCCTTGACCAGAACACACCTAAAATAATCAATAAGTCAATAAGCGACAGCATATTAACTGCTTTTAATAAAGCAAAAATAAAAATAAACTAAAAAATCCTATCATAAAATTATTCTTCAAGTGGTTCCAAAAATTTGTGAGTTTCTTTTTTACAGGTAGCCATTGACATCCATAGTAGGAAAAAAAGCATTGGTAAAATCAATGTCTACCAGTTTTCAACATTCTTCAAAATGTCTTCCTTTCTGTCCAAAATAAAAAAAAAGAATCTCAGAATAGAGGCTGCACAGCTGTAGGTCGCAAGAGCAAGAAGGTCGCTGGTTCGAGCCTCGGCTGGGTCAGTTGGCTTTTCTGTATGGAGTTTGCATGTTCTCCCTGTGTTCGCGTGGGTTTCCTCTGGGTACCCCCACAATTCCAAAGACATGCGGTACATATGAATTGGGTGAGCTAAATTGGCTGCAGTGTATGTGTGTGAATGAGTGTGTATGGATGTTTCCCAGAGATGGGTTGCAGCTGGAAGGGCATCTGCTGCGTAAAACATATGCTGGATAAGTTGGCGGTTCATTCCACTGTGGCAGGCCCCTAGATTAATAAAGGGACTAAGCCAAAAACAGAATGATTTATTGAATAAATGAATCTCACAAATGTTTGGAACTAGTAGAGGGTGAGTAAATGACAGAATTATCATTTTTGGGTAAACCATCCCTTTAAAATGCCCCATCAAAATACAAATGTGTCTTACGGTTTCCACAGGGTCTTTGTAGCCGCCTTTGTATTTAATGACGGCTTGGGAAACAGAGTCCAAATTCTGCCCGGTGATGATAATTTTTGATCCTCTTCATTATAGCGGGACCATAAAATACACAGTGAACAATTCAATCACTCTTTCACACTACTTTTATAAATATATTTACATATAAAAATATTAATTATTGACATACCTTCTAAAACCACAGTTGGGGTTTACACCCGTCACCTCGGGATTCACCCTGTAGCTGAATGTTTTTGTGGAGGAAATAGTCGATCCATCAATTACAACCTTCACATCCACTTCTAAAGTATCCTTCACACCTTCAGACCGGCAAACAATAGAAGTCCCATCACTGGAGACGCTATGGAGAAATAAGAGGAAAAAACTCAGGGACATGTGCTTAATAATGAAATACTACACTTATAACATTTCTAAACCATGGCTGGTAACTTTTAAACAGTGCATTTCATAACCTGGCACAATAACCTTTCAACAGGGCAATTTCTGTCTCCAAGGCTGATCGTTCTGGATCCACCTGCATCCAGATGCTTTCCAGACAGGGTGATCAGGGTTCCTCCAATCTTGGGTCCAAAGCTTGGACTGATATCTGTGATTTCTGGAGTCTGACGGGAGATACAATATCAACTTATGACTTATCGAATTAATTATCAGAAGTACTTTTAATAATAACACTAAAATTTACTAAAGAAAGTAGCATATTCGGCACAAAATTGGCTTTAGAATTTATTAAAGAGCCCATATTATGGGTTTTTGAAAATTCCCCTCCATGTAGTGTGTAACACAGCTCTAAGTGAAGTGGAGTATCCAGCTAAGGCTTAAATCTGTTAGTGTACAGTGTTAAAAACGGTTGATTCATCTAAAAAAGAGTCGACTCATAGTGCTTCAAACGAGTCGCCTTGATACAGATTCATTAGGTGTTTCGCCATGACGTACGAACGAAACCAAGTTATTCACGTGCACGCGCAAACCCGGGAGATTTCAAACCTGAGGCCCCGCCCTCTGACGCAGAAACCGAGACACACACACACACACACACACACAACCACAAACACACACACACACACACAAACATGCCGGTCGATTGAAGTCACACTGCAGATGGATATATTGAGTCTCTACCCAAAGATGAAACCTCAGCATTATAGCCAAGCAGTTGGAAACTTCTGGAAACTTCTGGAAGCTACATGCTACAAAGAATACTTCATCAGCGTTTGTTAAAGGAAGGATCAGTAACTTACTGATAGACGTCAGGATGGGTTTCTTCCTCCATTTCTCAAGTGTAAGTACGTGCGATTAAAGTTGCCTCGTTGACTCTAGCTTGCAAATGTATTTAGTTGTGATTTGTTACTTGTAACCGCGTGTACTGTATCAGGTTAACTGGCTATATTCTCTTATCGTGTGCAAAGTCACGTTAAAAACGCGACGCGTGCTGCGTTAACGGAGCTCCGTGGACGGGGAGTAACGTTAGTGTGTGTGTCTGTGTGTGCGTGCGCGCGCTGTCGTCCGGAGGTGTGTGTGTTTGTGTGTGTGTGTGTGTGTGTGTGCGCGCGCGCGTTGTCGTCCGGAGCAGGGTTAAGTGCGTATGTGTGTGTGTGTGTGTGTGTGAGTGTGTGTGTGTGTGTGTGTGTGTCTGTGTGTGTGTGTGTGTCTGTGAAAAGAGCAGAGTGAGAAGCTAGGAGATCTCCTCAACTGTTTTTGGAGTTTTTGCTCAATAAAATAGTTAGTCGTCTGTATTTTCAAGTCCATAGTCTGTATTTACATTGACCCACTGGCAGCTAAAATCCACGCCTACACTATCGAGCGTGTATGAACTGTGATTACTTTTATATTGCTGATTAGCTGTTTGGCATTTCACTCTCTGACTGAAGGCAGTCGACCAATCGCAACAGACTGTCATCGGTCCAATCAGCGCAGATTAGCTTCGCGCTAAGGAGGGGTTTGGGAACAAATGAATCACTGGACGATTCATACAGGAGTCGCTGGGATAATTAGGTAAAAATAAATGCAGATTATAAGACCATGAAAGTGTTTTTTGACCTTGCATGCATATTAAACTGTTGTTGGAGACCCTTACAACCAAGATATGACCCTATTTCATGTATAATATGGGCTCTTTAAGAAGACTGTTTTCTTATAAATGTTATATCAGATAACAAAACTCATACTGTATGCAAAAGTTTTAACCAAAATAAAATGACAAAAATTTGCTAATTTGGTTGTGCGTTTTCCTGAAAGTAGTTTTTAAAATCTAAAAAGGGGATTGGCATTAGTGTAAGCTGTTAGTAAGTCTGGCCCCAAATCTGTATTAAATACATAATCAAGTGGACATTTTAAGGTTGAAAATGGTTTGGTAATTACCACAAAGCTGAAGCCTTGAATGCCAGCCTTCCCAGAGATGAAGTATCCACTTCCCGCTTTTTTTTCATTAACTTGGATTGTTATGTTAACACTTTGATGCAGGCCTGATTCCTCTCCAACAATCCTACAAACCAGCCTGAGAAAGGAATTAAAAATAATGTGCATAACAAAACACGAATGTTGTTAATATTAAATAAACCTGAAATACTGAAAGCTGAAATAAAATAGAAATAACAGAGAAAAAAACAACAACTGAAATGAAGTGCTACTGTCAAACTAACTTTAAGATAAGATAAAGGTAAAAGACTGAAATTAAATAAATTACCACAAAATATCAAATAGACAATAAAATATGAACAAAAACTGAACAATTTCTACTATCAAAATATTACTGATAAGTGCATATTATTGTACAGTTGAAGTCAGAATTATTAGCCCCCCTGAATTATTAGACTCCTTGTTTATTTTTCCCAAATTTCTGTTTAAGAGAGAGAAGATTTTTTCAACACATAATAGCATAATAGTTTTAATAACTCATTTCTAATAAATGATTTACTTTATCTTTGCCATGATGACAGTAAATAATATTGGTCTAGATTTTTAAGACACTTCTATACAGCTTAAAGTGACATTTAAAGGCTTAACTATGGTTATTTAGGTTAACTGGGCAGGTTAAGGTAATTAGACAAGTTATTGCTTTTATTGTAGCCAAAATAAAACAAATAAAACTTTCTCCCGAAGATATTATCTGACATACTGTGAAAAATGCCATGCTCTGTTAAATATCATTTGTGAAATATTTAAAAAATAATAATAATAATTCTACCTAGGTTTGTCACCAAACATATTTAGAAATTGAAAGATAATACAATTAAATTCAAGCAAAATATTGCAAAAATAAATTACAACCTGCAAAATTTAAATTTGTAAAAAATTTTAATTATTAGTATTTTTTTTTCTCGAATTTTTCTCTTTTTTAAATTTGTATTTATTATTTTTCTGTTCATTCATTCATTCATTTTCTTGTCGGCTTAGTCCCTTTATTAATACAGGGTCGCCACAGCGGAATAACCCGCCAACTTCCAGCAAGTTTTTACGCAGCGGATGCTCTTCCAGCCGCAACCCATCTCTGGGAAACATACACACATACACACACACACTACAGTCAATTTAGCCAACCCAATTCACCTGTACTGCATGTCTTTGGACTGTGGGGGAAACCGCAGTACCTGGAGGAAACCCACGCGAACGCAGGGAGAACATGCAAACTCTACACAGAAACGCCAACTGAGCCGAGGATCGAACCAGCGACCCAGCGATCTTCTTGCTGTGAGGCGAACGTGCTACCCACTGGGGCACTTAAGGCATGTTCAAATCCACTTTAATATTAAAAAATAGCCAACAATGCCCTTAAACACAGCTTATTTTCAGACCAGAACACCATTGGGTGCACAAATGGACACACATGCATTTGCTATTTAAAAGGGTGATGATGAGACCCAAATTGTGTTACTTACAGAGAGCTACTTGTTTTCTCTGGTACAACTGTACAGTCGCTGTTTCCCACTCTGACCTGATGAGACTCTTGAGTGATAGCAGGACGGGAAGCTGACTGGAAATTCCAGCCGCAAAGAATAAGTTCACTCGTCCCATTTGAAGGCACCGTCCTGGGGAAAAACTATTAAAAAAAAGGAGCAAAATTAGTTTGTTACAAATGAAACATTAATTAATCTTCATTTCAGTATTTTGAGAGAAAACTAACCACCAAGAAATGCCTAGCACATTATTATTTTACTCTTAATTAACTTAAGTGAACATTTTCTCTATTTTTTACCAGTTTTGTTGACTTTTTATACTAAAAAGCACAAAAAGCAACTTTCCATTTGGTGTGAGACAGAGGTGAGAGTCCAACTGATAATGCAGTTGTGAACACAGTCCTGCCCTTATATGACTACAATGAGTTTGAAGCGGCCCTAACATTATTATATACTCACCATATATTAAGAAAAATGCTAACTTAATAGACAGACAGAGTTTACTATCACCTTTATTGCCCAATTGTCATCATACCCCACTGTCAAGGCATTACCTGGGTGATAACAGGAGGGCAGGAGTCGCCGCTCCACTGATCTTCACACTGATGCTGTTGGGAACAGACTTCACCACACCAGCCACATCCCATAAACCTCGGGGCTGCTAAACACGCTGAGCAGTTTAGGAAATGGCTACAGCCTGGGCCTCTGGGAGACACGTTTATTAGCTGTAAACACAAGTTTAAACGACACATATTGGACGGATGCAAATGGAAAGTGGCTGAATGGTTTTTAAACCTATACTTATACTTTTTTTTATTGTGAAGATTTTTACAGAGAAATGTTTACACAAGAGAGTGATTTGTCTTTTTCTTGTTGTTCACAGTATTTTTTTTAACTGTCGAGTGATTAAATGTAAACAAAGAGAAGTCAGAATTCCTAACTCTGACTTATTTTTGTGCAAGAAATATTTGCAAATGGATAATTCATTAAAAACACCTCATTATATAAACATTACACTTTACATTACATTACATTACACTCGTAATACAAAAATATATATCTGCAATTCCTAATGTAATCAAGCTTGGAAGTATGGTGATGACTGCTAGTTTGTTTTTTACTCATTGACCTGCAGTGTCTTGCCCTAAACCTTCAGTTCACTGCTGACAGAATTGAAAGTAAATACCTTGTTTCCGACAACAAAGAGCAGTGATTCTAATGATGAATGAATGGCGGCTATCCGTGACACTTTCTGTGCATCTTCAACAAGAGAGTAGTTGGCAAACACTACAGGGATTGATCTGCTCAGAATGATCTGAAAAGTAAATGACTTTTTGTCAGCCAAGTGTCAGAAATACTCATACAATTTAATGACAGGATCACAGTAAAACAATTATGATATACAGTTGAAGTCCGAATTATTAGCCCCCTTTCAATTTTTTTTTTCTTTTTTAATTATTTCCCAAATTGTTTAACAGAGCAAGGAAATTTTCACAGTATATCTGATAATATTTTTTCTTCTGGAGAAAGTCTTATTTGTTTTATTTCAGCAACAATAAAAGCCGTTTTGAATTTTTTTAAAAGCCATTTTAAAGTCAAAATTATAAGCCCCTTTAAGCTATATATTTTTTTCTAAAATAATTAATGACTTGCCTAATTAACCTGCCTAGTTAACCTAATCAAATATCTAGTCAAATATTATTTACTGTCCTAATGGCAAAGATAAAATTAATTATAAAACTATAAAACTATTATGTTTAGAAATGTGTTGAAAAAATCTTCGTTCTGTTAAGCAGAAATTGAGGGAAAAAAATAAACAGGAGGGCGAATAATTCAGGGGCCTAATAATTCTGACTTCAACTGTATATATAAATTTTCCCTTAAAAAGGCAATATTCATTTATAGTAGACCATCAAAATAAAGAGCCAACAAAAATTCAGACAATGACTAAATTTGGGAAATGACTTGAGGAAAAAATGCAACTTTATACACACTTTTTAACATCTGGAAAAGAGATTATGCAAATCGGAGTAACCAAAAATATGTGGTTGCAGATGTTTAGATCGACTGGAATGAATGATTGGCCTCTGAAACATCTCTAAAAATACTTTTGCATCATGGACTTATATTCTGATGCATCAAAACTCTGCATCCCAATATAATTACAAATGAATTGAGTAGTTCATTTTCTGAAGAGACATGATCACTTTATATAATAAACTGATGTAATTTGTTTTTATATTCATTTCCTTTCTCGTTACTTCATAATGTAAAAATTTTCATATTTTTTAGCATGAAACTTTCTAGATGGACCATATTAAAGCTCTATCCAATGATGCCTAATTTATGTTTATAGCTCACTGGGGTCAAGAACTGTTACTATTTAAAGTTAGGTATACAGTAGGTGTAAATCCCCAAAAGTGAGTGTTCTATAACAGGTTAAAACACTTATGATTGAACAGTGTTCACTATATGCATATTTGGTCATGGAAGTGTAAGCATGCTTGCTTCACATGCAGGAACCAATTAAGTTTATTATTGGGTGTCACATGGCACATTTAAGCTTCTGAAAGAATCATGTCTCTTGAGAAAACAAAGATAAAACTGCTTGGATTTATTGTTGCGTGTTTGTTTATTTAAATCTTTTTACAAACTTTTTTAAGCACTAGATTACTAAGTGAATTGACATTGATTCCAGGTAGAATAATCTATCAGATTCCAATAATCATCTTCATTTTTGATCCAAAGATGAACAAAGAGTTTTACTGATTTAAAATAAAATAAAGGTCAGTAAATAGAGTAAATGTGAATTTTCAAATCAGGGTGAAACATTACCCTATTAGAAAACAAACTTGTTTCTACATGAATGAGTGATGCTATAATAACCTGCAGAAGTCTTCCGTGATCTGTGCCGATGTGGGCCACAGTTTTGGTCTCAATGGTGGTGACCAGAATAGAGGTGAAGAGCACATTGCTCATCTGCCCATTGAAGAAGTCCACTCTGTAGTAAGGCTTTGATACCATGGTGGGAGTAGTTTTGCAAGTCAAACTGTCTGAATTCTAAACAAATGAAACAAAACATTAAACTGAAGGTATTTAATGAATCAATCACTTATGTGTTGTTTTGTGCTGTTTGAAAGTACAAACATAATAAATTAATTCCACACAATATAACTGGCAACATCAGCTATTACATCAATATACACTTTATATCATTGTCTATAACTAAATGTAGCATTTGATCATTTTAAAAACAAACATTTTTACTTGTCACCATTTTTATTTACTTTTTTGCAGATTCAAATTTAAAGAAGGACACATAAAACCTCTACCTAGGCAGTAATTTCAAAGAAAAGGAAGCAACAACTTGTAAACAGAAGACTCCAGACATCATCTGGCAGTGATAAATGAATTCCTGCTAAAGCTTGAACCCTTGTACCAAATTAGTATTTGTGAGATGTGTGCAGTCTTTCAAGATTTACTCTACATTGCATTAGATATCAATGAAGTAAGGTTGTCATATTTTAAAGACTTTAAAAAGTTTTTGAAAAAAATCATAAATTAATTAACTTATTTGTTTTTGCAAATTTAAGTGGATTGAACATGAAGCAATTAAGTTGGCCCAGCCAAAAAAACACTCAAACTTACTTACTCAAAATTGTGTAGTTTGAACAAACAACAGATGTTGCTGTCTAGAGTGCAAGCTTTACAATGTGTGCGATTTTCCAATTTCTTGGAAGTTGCATGATAACTTTTGTAAAATCTTGACCTCCATCTTGGAGCCACCTTCATAAAAGCAATCATGTGCTGGCTTGTTTATCAGCTTATTTATCAGAATCTGTCCTTGGAATGAAACAAGGAAAGTATTTTTTAATATTAAAACTAATTATTAATACAAGTATAATTATTTTTTACATGGGTCAAATACAAAATGTCTCATTTGCATAGTGATTAGCCGACATAAAAGCATATTAAATGTATGTGCTTTAAAATGCGTCAGTGAACATTCTTTTAAAAATTCTGACAAAAATTATACATCAGATTATGCACTGAAAAAAGAATACTTTTAACCAACTTTTTAAAAATTCTTAATTTGTTACAGCTAAAATGTTTAGACTTAAAAAATTAGATTTTTTTAAATCAAAAATATTTATTGTGGCCAAGAAAAAAAAATAAAGTACCAAAGAACCAAAGTAAAAATACTGTTTACTATAAACACACTAACTTTTTTTTAACTTTGGTACAACATAGATTTTTAATATTTTTATTAGCTTTTTTACCTCATCTTTGCTTTGAACCAACCTAAAAAAACAGCCAATTTGATAAATTTCCCTCAAATTATGCAGAAGTTTTGACTTGGATGGACTAAAGAAAAAATACAACTTTGAGGAAAAAACTAATGCTTTCATTTTTCCCAGGGGGTTTGTTTTTTCCTTTTTTTTTTTTTTTTTGCAAATGAAATAAAACAGGTAAAAATCCAAAACCGCTTATTCACTTAATCCAATATAAAAATGTTATAAAAAAGACACATTAGTTCAACTTTTTTTAGTGAGGGTTCAGTCATTCTTTGTAATTGTAATATTTGAATGGCAGGGCGATTAATCAAAAAGTAATATAAAATCGACATTCAAAACCTATAATCGAGAGTTGCCTTTAGACGACATATAAAACTTGTCAGTGAACTATGAGGGCAAATTTTTTTTATAAATAAATAAAATAATAGTTTATTAATCGTAATCGAGTTAAAATGTTCAAATAATTGAGATTTTGATTTTAGGGCAAATCGCCCAGCCCTATTTAAATACAAATGAAACAACATAATTTTGCTGACCTTTAGTTTTTAAAATACATTAAAAATAAGTGATCATACTAAATTATTAAAATTATCAAAACTGACAAATGAGGGAACAATGTTTTAAAAAATAAAACTTACATTCCATTAGTATTTTGGTACAGAAAAAAAATGATCTTTATTTACAGTTATTTAGTATGCAGGGTTTAGAAAATCTGCAGTCAGACATCCCATGGCTATTGTTTTTTCAGTCTGGCTACCAAAATCTATCTCTGCCCGGTGGTAGCCCAACTGAAAAAAACAATAGCCCCAGGACATCAGGCTACTAGATTTTGCAAGCCCTGTAATTAAAAGATTCTTAATCTAAACATGCCTGACCAGATTTTATCCTATTAAAAGGAAAACCACAAAAAGAATATATGCAAGTAAACCCTCCAGACATCATTTACAACGGACATATTTTATAACATATAAAAACTTAAACTACAGGACATCTGCACCATAAATCATGTTTTATTTTAGCCACCCTTCTCGTTATCTCCATTCCTATTGGTTAAAAGCAAACAGCTGACGTCACTATTAAATATCCTGCCAGTGCATACTTTCTTGAATTCATCAGCTTTGACTCATTGCCTATTTAAGATCCCGAGAGATAAGGCCAAGCTCAGCACAAACGTCTACCATACAAAGTTTTCAGTCTACCAGTAAGGTATCGAGTGATGTATTACAGGTCATGTTTGAGCTTGTATTGGCTGGTATCTACAAAACAAAAAGTGACTTCACAAATCCAACAACAAAATAGAGACTACTCTGAGCAAGTCCAGGTCCACGGTCAAGTTTAAACGAAAATCAAATGTTTGTATGAGTCATTTCCTGAAGCAAGCTTCACTTAGCATGAATTATTTTATGGTCCACTCCTTTTAAGGTACAGGTTGTGTAATATAAACTAGACCAAGTCCATAAAACCCTCTGACTAAAAATGAGATGAGGACAAGTCTTACAGGTGCAAACATAAAATGGCAGTAGACCATTACAGAGGATTTCATTCAGGCTTGTTTGTAAATCAAAACTGTCTTTCATATTGAAAATCATTTTACATAAATGTAATGTAGCAGTAAGGTTGATGTGCATGACATTTACATTTTCATTTGTCAGATGCTTACAAAGCAACTTATATTTGAGGAGACATTCAGCAAATCAAAATGAAGAGGACATGAAGAGCTAAATATATAAGGAACTGTTAGTGCTCAGTGAATTAAAAGCTAGAGAGTTTTTTTTTTTTGAGAGAGAGACAGAGGGAAGTGAAGTGTGTTTCTACAGGTGGTTTGTCAAACCCACTCACGTGTGATGCACATTTAATAAATTGCTAGAATTGACACAAGACTGATGCATATAAATAAAGTATCTGTACAATATGTAAAAATTTAATGTTTTATTGTAAATAAAATATAAACTAATTTCATCTGATGTTGTGGTTTGTACAAAACAGTGAATAATTTTATTTTGTGTGTGTGATGGTTTGATCAGTGTGGAATGTGCCTGATGGTAGAAAAATCATTTGCAATATTCATGAAAATATTTCAGTAAGTTACTTGTGTTGACTGACACACAGCCAAAGCACATGCAGAGACAGATGACTGCCAGACAGCACTAGATCCTGAAGATAATCAGTACCCGCAGTTCTCTTTAGTAGGATATTGTATTTGAACAATCAGATTTGTTACATTATTTCTAAATTGACGTTAACATGGTTGATTATGTTTTAAATGATAAAAAATTAATCACAACAAAAATGAGAAAATCCTTCATTGCTCTTCACAGCATAACTATGGATATATACAGTCCTCAGCATGAATAAGTACATGCCTTTTGAAAATGAATTCATTTGGGGGTTTTTTAAAACCTTTTTAGTGATTTTCACATTTATTGTGATAGGACAGTGGAGATTTACAGACAGGAAAGTGTGGGGAGCAGAGATAGGGAAGGATCAACAAAGAATCTCGAGCCGAAATCAAACTCACCGTCAATGTGAGCACCTCGATGCTACAGTATGTATCAATGCACAAATCCTTATTAGGCTATCGGCGCAGAGTAAATGTATTTTTAAAAAGACTTAAGATCACAGTACAAAAACGATTGGACCAAAGTAATGTGTTAAAAATAAAATATAAATATAAAATAAAATATAGATAAAATAAATATAGATACAATTTTAAATATATTTTTTACAAAACAGGAACAATCTAGAGAAATATAACAAATTTAGAAATAACTTGAAATAACTTGCTTGTATATATTATCTTTCTATTTCTAAAAATGTTAGGTGACCAAACTCTTATTTGAATGAATATAACTGTACAATAAATGCAGTAAATGCACAATAAATGTGGTTAGTGCGTTGACATATGGTGTGGCAGCACTCTGGGTATCACAAGTTCAAATCTTGGCTCATGGACCTTTCCTGATCTTACCCCCACTCTCTCCCACTTCACTTCCTGTCAACCAACTGTCCTTAAATAAAATAATAAATATAAAATAAAAGCAAAAATGGCAAAAACAAATAAAAAAATAAGGATATTCCTTGTTGTACAATAAAATCATTTAATGAAGTTTAACGTCTGCCTGTGACTGATTCAAAGTAGGGACTAGGATATCGAATGTGTCATAACTGATGAAAATTTTATCAGATATTGCACTGCAAAGAGCAAAACTAGTTTTAACTTAAGTCCGTAACTTGGAAAATGACCCCAAAATAAGCTGGATATATAGATTTCAGTATCTGTTTATAATTTGGTGGAAGTGACTCTTCAAATTGGACAGAAAATCTGATATGTAGAGCAATGTCATACAAATCAGTGATCAATATTAATAAAAGTGATAGACTCAATGTTTTGAATGCAAGCATATATTTAATGAACTGTTAGGGAGCTCTCACGTTCACCAAGTACAGACACTGGAGACAATGGACGACACTGTACACACATCTGCCACTGAACTGCACTACAAATCCCTTTATGCCCTGCAGTCACACACCAGTTCCAGGTCACACCTTCATAACACACCCAGCTGAAGCTCATCACGACTGCTTGCATAGACTATATGCACACCTCTCACACACACATCTTGGCTGAGTCTTGTTACTGTAGTGTGCATTATGTATGCGTTTATTGTTTGTTTCACTGTTTATGTTTGTTTTGCCACCTGCCTTGACCATTCCTGTTAAATCGACCACTCTATGGATTATCTCAACCCAGGCTCATTCTGAAAATGTACCTCTATATACATTTGCCTTATATGTCCCAGAAGTTACTTTTTTGCTGTTTTTGTTTTAGCGAATCCACCAGAGGCCGTTGTGCAGGCTTTTTGAGATGTCAAATTTCTCTCATGAAAACCAATTGCCCGTGCTGTTCTCGTGTAAATCCACCAGAGGCCGCTTTAAGCCTGATTTATACTTCTGCGTCAGGTGACCGGCATAACCCACGGCGCAGGCAACGCGTGTGGCTGTGCATTCATACTTCTGCGCGCTGTCTCTGTCGGTCTGCATTAACACTTCCGAAACGCTAGTTGGCAGTGAGGTGTAAATGTTCCTCTGTGTCGAGTTTCTTCGCTACTTTTTTGCATTTCCTGAACACTTCCGGGATCTACAAGTGGCTCAAACTCGCTCATTTTGAGGCAGGAACCGGCGGACGTGCAACAACTTTAACTATGAGGTAAACACAAAACAAAACTTCCATCCGGAGCTCCTTCACGGTACTCCACACTTGTAAACAATCGCTCGCGCGGCGTCGCGCCATTCGCGCGGCTCACGGTCCCGCCTAGACTCGTCAGCGATACCAAGCCGACCAATCACAGAGCTTACGCTACGCGTCGTTGCGACATGTAGTTACATTTTTTGAGAGGTGCACGTCAGCGACGGCGATGGCCACGGCGAAGGGCTATGCGTCAGCGCCGTAGCATACGCCGGTGTTTGACGCAGAAGTATAAATCAGCCTTTAGACTGACAGACTGACTGACTGACTAACTGACTGACCAATCGACCTACTGATTTTCTTCCCTAAACCCAACCTATAGTGTTTTTAAAAAACACAGATTGACTCGTCCACCCACTTCCCTAAAACTAACCGACAGTTTTAAACAGCAATCCAGTAAAAAAAAGCCCTTGTCTGGTTTTTACCATGTTTTCAGATTTTACCACATTCTCATCCTGTTATTTACTTGTTTATTATATTTTTTGGCTTCTGTTTTTGTCTTACCCATTTTCTGGATTCATTCTTTGTCAGACCCTGTCGTCGTGGTCAACTCCTCTCTGTGTCTCAAGTCCGCCAATGTACACGTTGAGCTAACTGGACAAACTGGTACTGCTTGAAAGCCGTCCATATGGAGATAAGCAGTCAGCTGGTAAGTGTGAAAAGGTGCGTTTGTTTTAAAGACGAAATGCAGCCATACGTACTTCTGGCTACATAATTTGCGATATCCAGAAATATATATTGAGCTGTTTTCAAAATGAGCCTGTGTTGGATTATCTACATGCTACTGTCTGTCCCTGTTTGAACCCTGCCTGCCTGACGATTATAATAAAAGCTGCATTTGGATCTGACCCTTGTTGTGAACCTCCCTCATTACAGAAGAGTTTCATGGGAACTTTAAAAATGTTTTCAAACTGTCATAAAGAAGCAGTGAAAAATGCAAACTTACCTCAACTGGACACATTTCACAGGGCTGGAAATGGCACAATCCCCTTGAGATCTGCTCTGTCAAACTTGAACAGCAGGCGTCTACCCCCTTTTCAATGGCACTGTTCACATAGTCCAATGGAAAAGCGCACAAGGCAGACTGTCTCATTGGATTGCCCTTTTGATCCGTCACAGCGAACACTCCATACAGTATCGGGCTGTCTATCCTCACTCCCAGATCATCAGCAAGCTCTTTGCCAGCTGTACTGAAGTGAGCAGCTTGAACCGAATTATAAACAACATCCCTGAAGCTCCTTCTCCTGCGTTTGGGCTCGAAGCGGCACTCAAGAATAATTTCCCTGTACATCCAAAGCTCGCTGTCCTTAATCGGCAGACGCCCAAGATGAGTCTGCAACTTCGCATTTGGTTTCATTAGACTCTCCCATTGCACAGATAAGAAATAAACATATTCCGTTGTGGAAAATGTATAGATGTAGTCAATTGTAAATACATCCTGGAATTTGGGAAGAACGGTCAGATTCTTCACATCATGGAAACCATTTTCTGTGTTAAGCAAGCGACGGATAGAAAGTGAGTGTTTGCCGAAAGACCCAGCAATGGTGCTGTTGACGGTGGCTGCTGTGAAGAAGTATGTTGAATAACCCTCGTCTACCACAGTGACCTTCGTTCCCAGAGGACTGGCAACGCAGTCTGGACAATCAGAGGGTGAGTTGGCTTTTTTATTAAATAAACATTCGGGGCTAGAGGCTATGTTGCCTTTATCAAGTTCAAGCATGTTACAGACTCCATACTGGGTGCTCCCACAGATGTACAGGAAGTCCAGATGCTGCTGAGGCTCCAAAACAAGAACTTGGTTATCAGTGTCCAATGATGTTCCCGGTTCGTTCTCAATATCACAGTTACACGTCTGACAATCTGGACTGCCAACTGGTCCCGTTTTTAATTCCCATAGTTTGGTAAGATTTTTGTCCAAGGCTTCAACTACATTTTGAGAGGCCACATAAACTTCATCAAAATATTCATTAAAAACTATGTTCTGTATGGCATTGGTGGTTTGGAAAAAGTAGACTGGGTAGGTCACAGAAAAGTTTACATTCATTTGTTGGATGGTAGGGCATGTTTTTTGGGCACAGGTCAGATGTATCTGCAACCAGAAACATGTTAACAAGGTCTTTGGGCTGATGAACATCTCCACTGTCCTGCTGTCACTGCTTTACTGCTAACACATGATGACGATAACCAGAACCTTTGAATGGAAAAAAGACAGTGAATGTGAGATGAGCATGTACACTGTAAAAATGCTTTCAGCTTTATGTGAGAACAACATGCATTCCATCTCTTTACAGTCTCTTGGCTGAAGGGCGGCTAAAGATAAATAAAACAAAAATGAGGGTTTAGGTACAGTTAAAATCCCTAAAAGTGTGTATTATACTGTAGGTTCTCCCTATAGGCATGGGACAGTAACCATTTTCAAGGTATATCGTGGTTTTGAAAAGTTTTGAAAAGCACCAAATGTTTTTGCTATACTGTTCCTAAAGTATATGTAAGATTGTTTTTTCATTATTTTTTAGGCAAACAGTATCTCCAGCAGAAACGATGTCATTTGTAATTGTAAAGAAATCTGTTTTTGAAACTAATGAAGACAGCAGAAGTCAATGATTTCACATGTTTACTGGTCCAAAATATTTTAAGTGTTTCTGAAAATAAAATATATTGTGTACAACGGGAAAAAACTTTTTCGTTTTTTACCCAGACATTAAAAATATATATATTTTAGAGTAGTAATCACGATACTGTGAAACAGTGATGTTTTACCCATGGTTATCATACCGTCAGAATCATATACTGGCCATGCCTACTCCCTATCTCTAGCTTGCATATATTATACACTTACAGTACATTATAACACTTTACAAAGTTGATGAGTGCTTTACAGTGTTTTAAATATTAATCTAGTATTGCTATTAATTTATAATATAACTAATACTATAATAAGAATAATTATTTATATAACAAAATTCTTATGAAAGATGTTTCAAACAAAAATCATTTAATGACATACTAGTGTAAAATACTCTTTTTAATGAAAACTGCACAGGGCAAAAATACTAAGTATAATTTGAAAACTTTTCCCAGTGTACTTTAAAACCACAGGGTTTTACCCATTATCAGCAAGATGCAATCACTAAAAATAAGTTGGCCCATAGTAATCTTTGATTTGGCCCACCATCCCATCTGAGAATGGTTTAGAGATTGTCTTTTCAAATTTAATATACCCTTTTATTTGTTTGTTTTATTGTTAAGCTACAAAAAAAAGCTATTTAAAATTAAATGTTTCAATTTAAAAGGTGTAAATTAATCTGATTTTGTTTGAAATGTACATGCGACAACAATACAGAGACTTTGGTAAGTAAATTATGGCAAAGGCAGATTCTGCTTAACTAGTGTATACAGCACTGAATTCCACTGTGTTATAACTATGATTGCTCATGTTTTTATTGGAATAGGTTATTATTTAAATAGTTTTACTGCATTAGTTAATACGATTCTAAGTAACGTTTTGTATTTATTTTTTTAATATTATGAAAAAAATCATATGAATTAGGACATTACCCTTGGCAACTTTAATGTAAAATAATTTGGTATATTTATCTTCAGCCCACGGCTATCAGTGAGATTTGTTTTTTGGCCCTTCATACGAAAATGATGGGCACCCTTGAATTATACAAAAAAATATATATATTGCTCTGAATGACAATGGGACATTTTACTTTCAAAAAATGGAATTTGAAATATTAAAGTAGACACTTTGTTTGCATTTTATATGCTTTCTATGCATAACACAATCACTTTTGTAAAAGTAATTTAATTTGATTTAGACACCAAAGATTTGTCTATCTTTGACCCCACATTTTATTTGCATAATAAATTGGTCATGGTATTGCTTTAATTTGTGGACTCAATTTTATGTTACAACAGCAAAACCCATGGAAGTATTTCCATTGGTGTAAAGTAACAAATTTCAAATACTCAGACTAATGTACTTGAGTAGTTTTTCTCAGAAAAAAAGTAATTTACTGAGTAGTTTTAAAATGTGTACTTTCACTTTCCCTTGAGTACATTTTTTGTGTAGTATTGGTATTTTTACTCCACTATTTTCCTTCAGCCTGCAGTCATTACTTAATTTTTTTCAATGTGGATTGGCTAAAGTAGAAAAATCAGTCCTGCGATTTCTGTCCAATCAAATTTTAATAATAATTTTGCACCCTTATGAACAATTTAAAGACATTTTTAGAAAGTGTTTAAGTAGATGTCCAAAATCTTTACAATCACCCAGAGACTGCATGCCACTGATAAGATGACAGATGCCTACTCTATGCTCTCTGAAAGAATCAAATGGCTCTAAAAGTCACTAAGTGCACTACAGAAGGTTTACACACACATACATGCACAAACTGCATGTAAACGCATCAACATTTCACAGTGTAACTCCTCACTACTCATGAGCACTTTTAAAAGAACTACTTTACTAATACTTTGAGTAATATTTACAACAGATACTCTACTTGCACTACATTTTACATTCTTTTACTTTTACTTCAGTATGATTTTTCAGTACTCTTTCTACCATTGAGTATTTTGGTAGGCTGCATTTAAATGTATACTTTCTGCAGCTTTACTCCAAAGAATATTCAATGCTTACATTTGATCAGTTACACTGTAACTTTATGAACATTGGTATTTATCCACACCTTTTATGAAAAAAAAATACTTGAAGGTTTTCCAAAAATGTGATATTTGCTTAATATTTATGCGGAAACTATGGTCACTAGGTGGAATTCTGCGAGCTAATGAATGACTAAATTACGCAATATATTACTTAAGGAATATATTTGTAATTCAGGCTTTAAGAGAAAAAACAACATGTAACCTCGTTGGTGTCAAACAAATAGTTGATATGCATGTGCAATGTGTAACGATAAACAAACATTAAAGTGAGTAACCCGATTTGATTTTCACATTTTGTCACGGAATACCAATACATTTAGAAGTACATGCTTAAATATTGGATAAAATGTGACGTGTGTCGCTGACATGTTACCGTAAATGAATAAAATTATCAAACGTGTGCGTGCGTGAATTTACCTGAGGCTCACCTGTGGCCTTTTACCTCTATCTCCAATGAAGTCCAATGAACAGTCAGCGAGAGTCCTCAAACGTCAGTTACAGAAACTCCACAGAAAACGGTAACAGAGATTATAAACAAATTTAGCCAACCTGTTGTTGGAACTCGCCAAATTTGCTAGTTTCCTCGTACGGGACGGTTTCGACTTCACGCATTAGCATGCATGAGAAAAAACACGGTCAAACCCCCATTCACAGAACACGCCTAAGCACCTCATAAGGAAGTGATGTTGCACAATCTTTCCCCAACCTAAACATCTCCTCAGGGATGGGAATCAAAAGGCTTTCCCTTTTCTTATCTAAACAGCATTTAAGTGTATATTACATGAATGTCCACCAACAGTGCCTAGCTTGTGTCTTTCTATATATAAAAAAATGTATTTAATATTGTTTACGGAGTGTATGTGTGTATTCTGTATTCTGGGGTGAGGGGGAAACTATGACGTCAACCTTTATTGTGACGTATAATGCTTCCATCACTCACACCAGACACTGTGGGTAGATGTCATGAGGATATATGGAAATAAGCAGCTGTCGCCCACTTGTAAAACAGCTGTGTGAGCGGGAGGGAAAGAACATGAGTCATTTGCTGTAGCGTGTTTTGGGTGTATCATCTCCACCTGATGTTGTTACATAGTGAGTGACATGTAGACAGAAATAACAAGTGATGTAATTATGGAGTTACAGAATAAGCTTTCTACAGAAGACAAAACTATAAGTAATTGTTTATTCCAAAATATTTTGACCAAAAACGAATTTAGCTTCAAATGTGTTTTATTAATATGTAATACATACATTGCTCAGCATAAACGAATACACCTAATTTTATACATTTATTTTTATCAATTTCTTAGTGAATATAAGCAATATATTGTGATGCATGTAAACAAAACAGATTAATTAAACAGATACATGTATTAAAATAATACTTTAGTAGCCGAACATATTTAGAAATGCAAATATAATGCATTTTAATTCAAGGGAAATATTGCACTAAAAAATTACAAACTACAAATTTTCTACTAAATTATATATATATATATATATTTCCTTTCTTTATTTCTCCTGTCTTTATTTAAATTTTTATTTAACATTTTTTCTAACATATAAATTTGGCTGTACTCATTTTTGGACTGTGATTGTCCATTATTTTCATAGATTAGCTCTACATTTGGTTTAAGTGACTAATCTAATGTATATGCACAAATATAATGGTAAAGCCTCCTATAGAAAATGTTGATTAAAAATAGATTTGTCAAAAATACTGAGCACTGTATTTAGTAATTGTTTTATGTGTTTATTTACTTTATTTATTTATTTTTGCCACATTTACATCTTGATGAGTTGCATTTTAGTATTTTCAATCTTCCTTTTTTTACTTTTATTTTTCTCATTTAACCAGGAAGGTCCAATTAAGAGACAATATCTGTAGTCAAGACTGTCAGCACAGGACAAAGTTACAGAAAAACACATATCATAACACATTGACAAAAAAATACTCCATAGACACAAAAATATGCTTAAAAATATAAACCATAATCAATTGTTAAAGCTATATTCTATTTTATTATTGATATTATATTATACAATATCTATATTTTATTTTAATAACTATGTTATTTAAAAAAAAGTAAGAATATATTAAAATTAGGTTTTGAAATACAGAATCCACATGGTGGCGCCACAACTGTACATTTAAACTGTAAACTTTACAAGCCCGTTGCCAGCCTGCTGAAAGGTGTGCTTCTATTTTTCTCTAAAAAGTAGACTTTTTTTGCAATTATTCGTCACATTTTTTTCTATTTAATTATGAGATTTAAATACTGTATTTTAGTGTAATTTAAGCACAATTTTTTCTTTAGCTGGATTAGCTATATTGTTGAATGGTCACCATAACCACAATTTTTGAGATTTAGAATAAAAAATATGAATATATATATATATATATATATATATATATATATATATATATATATATATATATATATATATATATATATATATATATATTCATATTTTTTCATGTAAATGAAAATGTCAATAAAAAGAAAGGATCAAATTGTGTCAGAACCACAAAAAAATCTGAAACATCAACTCCATTAAGTTATGATGACATATTCACAACTCAATTTCTTTTTTTTAATCAACTTAATTTTTTGTAAATCAATCGAATGCGTGGAACGTGCAATATTGCAATGGGTTAGCTAGCTAGCATGGTCAGCTGTGAACTTTTAAGTTGTAACAATAACAGCATGAAAGCTGGTAATATAATGTTGATTTCTTGTATGTTAATGACATTTGCATCATAGATAAAATCTAGTTTTAATGGCAATACTACTTTTGAATAGATATCATCAATACAGGGAACAGTGTATTAGCGAGCACCACCATGTTCTATGGTAAGTGAAACAAGAAAAGGACAGAACTGGCTCTTACTGCAGATGAAAGTGAAAGTGAAATGGGTTTTAGTGACCATGAGAATGATGCACACTAGATATTTGATAGAGACAATTCAAGTTTGCTTAGAGGGAGATAAGTAAGGTGAAGTGTAGTGTAGTGTAGTATATATATATATATATATATATATATATATATATATATATATATATATATATATATATATATATATATACAGCAAAAAAGAATGAAATAAATGAAAGCTGTTGGAATATGAGTTGTTATAAGTTCTGTGTTAATAAAATTATTATAATAAAATTATTAATTATAAGGAAAATTCTAAATTTGAAATGTCTAAGTTAGTTCCACTGTTGGACGTTGTTGCCATACGACAACATTTCATAACGTACCTTAAAAAAATAAATTTTTCCATTTTTTTTACAGCACTTTAAGTTAAGCCATTTTAAGAAAAGAAAAACAGTCAAATATATATTTTTAATAGATCTATCTTAATGCGTGCGGTAGAGTGTTAATAATAATAACATTTTCTAACCTCTCTTGTAAAAAAGTACTTTAGAAAACTTATGGATAACGTCAGTTTGTATGTTTTCTTGCACAGCTGGATGTTGGACTCATGAAAAAATGTTGTTAGCATAGGGCAAAACTGATTAGCTGGATTCGGCTTGTTCTTAAAGCCTTTTTGGATGAGTTGTTTTCACTATTTTCACTGTTTATGCAAACTCCACACAGAAATGCCAACTGACCCAGCTGAGACTCGAACCACCAACCATCTTGCTGTAAGGTGACAGTGCTAACCACTGCGCCACCGCACCACCCCTGACATTATCGACTTTAATTTAAAATGTTTTTTTTATTTAGAGTATTTTATATGCATACAATAACAACAACAAAAAAAGTTGAAACATGTTTTCAGAACGGTTTATATTCACTTGTAGACAACAAAATACTAAAAATTCAATTTCAGAAGAGTTACAAAATCAATATTTGGGGAATAACATGATTTCCAATCACAGTAAATGAAAACATTTGTTGGAATTGTAGAAATTTGGAAGAAATGTTATCAGTCCCTTAATGTAATGCTACTTTAGATGCTGTTGTAAATATTTATAGTGTAATAAACGTGTAATACAATAAAGTTGGACATTTACTTTTGTAGAGAAATCTGTGAAGTTACAAAGCAACTTACTTCTATTCAGTCCAGCAGTTGACAACAACCCAGCCTGTTATTAAACAGTCCATTTCGGACAGCCAATTGAGGCACAAAGGTCATCCAGACTTCCTTTTGTCAGTCCAAGCGCTGTTTGGGGTCTGTTCCGACCTCTTCAATGTGTGTCTGTTTGCCAGAACGGGTGGAAATAGAGTTGTTGTTAAACTGAGTACTCAGTAAACTACATTGGTCAGGAATTTGCGTCATAGCCATTCAAACTGGAGTGAATGCTGTTCCCCCTGTCTCTGAATGTCCAAAGGTGAAGCTCAGGCCCATGCTGAGAAAGAGAGCGATGCACAAACTCTTTCCAAAACAAGAGAAGGAGAAGAGGCGAGTGACTGGATTATTGTAAGCAAGAAAAAAACGAAAGCATTAAAATTAGTACATTGAAACTTTTGGTTCATGCATATTAACACCAAGGTCACTCATTATTTGTTGAGCTGTTGTTAGTGATTTTTTTTTTTTTACAATATTTGTCTCCCTATAACTAATTTCACAAACAATTCTTGATTTTTTTGAGGTGACCACTTAATTTTTTATGATCAATCCACTTAAATGTATAAAAGCAGTTGAGTTACAATCGATTTGTTTTGGGACAACATGAAGGAATTGTGTAGAACCCAGCATTTTTTAACAGTGCACAATAGAAAAAGTCATAACTAAATATTTAATTGGCATTTGTTTGAGGTTTAAAAATAGACAAAAAATTCATATTTTAACCTTTTTCATTGAAACAAAACATACATTTCATATATAATAAATAAATTGCAAGTAATATTGAAAATTGTGGAGGGAAAACTGCCTCAATTTACAGTGCATCAATAGAGCCAACAGGGGGCAGCATATTTCTGCTTTTAACGCTGTCAGACTGACATTGTCAACTTATTATAAAGTCTTTATGATGCTTTTCCACCACAAACCACTAATTTAATTTGCTAATTGGGTGAATTAGCTGTGAATCATGTTGTTCTATTCGAGTTTGGTCAGCAGTGATTTATTTCACAGGGCTCTACATGGTGTGCAAGTTTGATGTTTTACTTCTGGCTTGTATAACTGTGCAAGTCCCACAAATGCACACAATGTTCCTCTCTCCTTCTTTCTATTAGTGTGCTTTATTTACATGACAAATAACACTGCTGTTTTATTGTCAGCACAGCTTCTGCTTTGGTGCAAACAATGCAAAATAAATAATAGAAAGAACTAGATCTGTACACTTTCTGAGCAAAACATGAATGCTGGTGGAATTAAAAAGTACAAGTGTGTTGTGCATCCATTGAATTTCTTTAATGGATAGTGGGGCAATTTTGGGGGAATATATATAATATTTTATTGAATATTTGTATTTTAGGAGATACAGCTCAGTTACTTATGCAGGCACATCTTTCTGTTTCTCTTTCCCATCTGACCCTTTGTATATCCTGACTCCCTCTCTCTCTTTGTACTTGGCTGGATTTGTGCGCCTGGCAAAAACTAAGAAAAAAGATGCATGGAGGGAAGAAAGAAAGACAGACAGAAAGAAAGAAAGAAAGACAAAAAAGAAAGAAAGGAAGAAAGAAAGAAAGAAAGAAAGAAAGAAAAACCTAAAGAAAGATCAAACAAAACTGATGCGTGTTTTTAAAATTCCTTTGAAAAAATTTATTTTATCTTACCGTAAATCTAAATTAAATAATTGCTATAAAGTATTCAATTATCTTTTTTGCTTTAAGAAATCAGTGTAAATGTCTTATTTGCAAATGGAATTCTAAAATTTACTAACAGGTTATTTTAGATATGCTTTTGGTTTCAGTCTAATTAGGATCTTATACTCCGTGAGCCTGGCAATAACTAAGAATTATGACTTTAAAAAAAGTAAGACAACCAATACAATTCCAACGCAAACAAGCTATGTGTGAAAAGTTTAAAGTTAACTTGTTACAACTCACAAATGTTTTTTTTGTTTTTTTGTTAACTTGTTGCTTTTAAGGCAACAGGTGCAACACAGGTTTGCTAAGCAGCAACATGAGGTAAACCACCAAGCCAGCATCACCATTTCCCCCTTTTCACTTCTGTGAACTCATGCTGTGAAGTCTCATATACTTGAAAAACATGTCTGAATAATGGGCCTAGTACATTTAGGCCTAGAAAAACATGTGGGGAATAGAATAGATGGGGGGAATATAGGGGGCTAGAGGCAGACAACAATGACAAGATGCTAAACAAATGAGTAAAAAAAATAATGGTTTGATTTTTGTTATGGCATTTAATGTATATGATATTCAAAAATGTAAGATTGCACAACTAAAGCTTCTTAGCTTCTTAGCTTATCAGTGCAACAAAATTCAGAATTGTGGCATTCAAGAGATTTTTTTCTCATTACCCAAAAATAAAAAAGACAAGAATCTTTGACCAGATAAAATTAGACCAGAAAAAGAATGCGGAGCTTTACTTTAGACTCCCATTTAGTACAACTCAACACATTCATATACACACACTGACCACATTATTAAGTTTATTAGGTTCACCTTAAGGCAAATTTCTAATTGGCCAATCACATGGCAGCAACTCAATGCATTTAGGCATGTAGACATGGTTAAGATGATCTACTGCAGTTTAAACTGAGCATCAGAATGGGGAAGAAAGGTGATTAGAGTGACTTTGAACGTGGCATGGTTGTTGGTGCCAGATGGGCTGGTGTCAGTATTTCAGAAACTGCTGATCTACTGAGATTTTCACGCACAACCATCTCTAGGGGTTTATAGAGAATGGTCCGGAAAAAAAAAGAAAATATCCAGTGAGCGGCAGTTCTTTGGGCGCAAATGCCTTGTTGATGTCAGAGGTCAGAGGAGAATAGCCAGACTGGTTTGAGCTGATAGAAAGGTCACAGTAATTCAAATAACCACTCATTACAACTGAGGTATACAGAAGAGCATCTCACGTCAAACCTTGAGGCAGATGGGCTACAGCCGCAGAAGACCACACCAAGTGCCACTCCTGTCAGCTAAGAACAGGAAACTGAGGCTACAATTCACACAGGCTCACCAAAATTAGACAATATAAGATTGGAAAAATGTTGCCTGGTCTGATGAGTCTCAATTTCTGCTGCGACATTCAGATTGTAGGGTCAGAATTTAGCGTCAACAACATGAAAGCATGGATCTATTTTGCCTTGTATTAATGGTTCAGGCTGGTGGAGGTGTAATTGTATGGGCAATATTTTTTGGCACACTTTGGGCCCATTAGTATTGAGCATAACACAACCTACCTGAGTATTGTTGCTGACCATGTACTTCCCTTTATGACCACAGTGTACAAATCTTCTGGCTACTTCCAGCAGGATAACGCACCATGTCATAGAGCAGCTTTGGGGAGATTTGCATCATGGATATGCAGCTGACAAATCTGCAGGAACTGCATAATGCTGTCATTACAATATGAACCAAAATCTCTGAGGAACATTTCTAGAACCTTGTTGAATCTGTGCCAGGATTGAGGCAGTTCTGAAGGCAAAAGGGGGTCCAACCCAGTACTAATAAGGTGTACCTAATAACGTCGCCAGTGATTGTATAAAATTTAGTGATACACTGATCTTGATTTTTCATGGCCGACATTATTTTTATTACTAAATTTGCTCATTCCAATACCAATTTAGAAATTTGGTAACCAAAAAAATTGATAAAATATGCACGATCACCTCACAGCAAGAAGGTCGCTGGTTCGAATCTTGACTGGGTCACTTGGCGTTTCTGTGTGGAGTTTGCATGTTCTCCCCGTGTTCGCGTGTGTTTTCTCCGAGTGCTCTGATTTCCCCAACAAGTTCAAAGACATGTTTTATAGGTGAATCAGGTGGGCTGAATTGTCCGGAGTGTATGAGTGTGAATGAGTGTGTGTGTGGATGTTTCCCAGTGATAGACTGCGCCTGGAATGGCATCCGCTGCGTAAAACATGTGCTGGATAAGTTGGCGGTTCATTCCACTGAGGTAAACCCGAATTAATAATAGGACTAAGCCGAAAGGAAAATGGTTGTATGAATGAATGAATATGTGATCTGTTTTATCACAGGCTGAAATATCTGAAATGAAATAAAATTAGAGGCAAAAATTGCACTTTCATCATGATCCACAAAAATGTGCGACACATTAATGTGGGCTGTTACTTTTGCAGACAACTATACATTGTATAATCAAAGATGATGCAAAGTGTAATACCTTGTAGCTGTTAAAACCTTTTAAATACTTTTAAGGGCCTTAAATTTCTCTGAATTGATTTATCAACTTTTGAAGATCCTGCAATGGAAATTTTTCTGTTTTATCAATCTAATCATTTTTAATTAAGTCAACATTGCTGCCATAATTTAAAAGAAAATGAACAGCGAACAGATCAAATGGGTGAAACGGTCAAATGCCCAGCACGAGCTGATTCAATTTCATTACATTATATTACATTATTAGTATTCATTTTCTCTCCATCCGAAGATGTAGGAGGACAAGAGTCAAGAGTTTGAGAACACAATGTGAATGATCCTCCATTGTATGATGAGCAAAAGACTCTTTGTCTTGAGAAAGACAGAGTGAAAAATACACTACCCACACACACAGACTCTCCGCGGACTGCTATCGTCACAATTATTGGATATTCTGGGGAGATATGCTCAGCTCATGCCCTGTTACATGACCTTTACATTAGCCTGCGTCATCGATCTCTATAAAAACACCAAAGAACTTGCTTGAAGGCGCACATCACATAAATGAACGCAGTTTATAACTATGGGCTTAATTTGCGCTGTAGGTCACCTATAGGGGTCGTTTTGCATGATTGCTGAATTTAATTCTTATTTTTGAGGATTTGTACTTAACTGCAATTCAAACTGACAGTGTACTTTCATTGAAGAAGAAATTATAGGCCTGTTTTAATTGCTCATACTGCATTTAAACAAAAAAGAAGAACTTTTTTTTTTTACATTTCATTTTCTTAGGCATATTAAATTTGGGAAACAGACAATCAACGAGGCTGGAATCAGTGATATGTGTAGCACTTTTGAGATGGAGAATATATAGCTATGGGTATAAGTAAAATATAATGTTTGTTTTATTCTGTGTATTATTGAAAACAGTAATTGTCCACCAAAAAAAATCTAAAGTTGTTGGTTTAATTTTAAATAAATAGTTTGAACAAGCAACAAATGTAATTTTTTGAGTGAATGAAGACAGACATTTTTGGATTTCATTTAGGATATTTTTAATTGAGCAAATGTTTCATTTTGTACCTCTACTTTCACATGAAAATCATTTTTACAAGTCCATCTGGATCCAGTAAAGCCACTGTTATGTAAACTCATTAACACACTGCTT